TTACATTCATTAAATCTGTAAACCCGAGTAGCATCAAACCATGTCCAACATATATGTATTTTATAACTATACAAATTTTATTTGCCCCTCACATTTCTTGTTAGCAATAAGATTGTTAGGAAGGCAAACAAACAAAGAGATAAAAGACAGCGAAATTTAAAGACCTAGGTAAATTATCAACTTAACCATTAATTTTGATAGGAATAAATATCACAATACTTAAGTAGGGGAACTTGAATTGTGCTAGCTAATTTCCTTCAATGAATTTCATGCTTGTTTATGATCAAATAACATTTAATCAATTCTAAGATTTGCCTACAGTGAGGCCCTGTTACGGAGTTCTAAATGTCCCCCGTATGAGTTCCAAACCTTTTTACATCGCAATTTCGGAAGGTTTCCAAGTCGCTGGCGGAATTTCGTCCAAAGCCAGTAATATCAATATCGGAAATGTTTCAGCATAAAGCGTTCTCTTAATTCTTAATTATCAACCAAACTTAATAGCTTGTAAAGTGCGACATGGGAATAGAGAGAGAAAAAACTCGGAAGGTTAAATCTGAATTTTGGGCGCGTGACCATCAAGGACATAGAGCGTGGCGTGATATGGAAGATGAGACGGAAGAGAGTCAGACGACACAGGTCACACTGTAGACTGTCAATACTCACGAAAAGTTTTAATTTATTGTAAAATACAATTTCCTCTGCCCGAATACACTATAAGTCGCTGTCTATTTTTCAAAACGCCAATGTCCTTGTCAGTTTCACTTTTGTCTTTGTCGCTGTCGGAATTTCACGCGAGCGGCTTGTCGTTCGTCGTCATTTCAGCTCTCTCGTGTCGCCCTTTCAGAGCCGTGTCGCCTGTTGAAAGATACCCAACGGGGCCGTTACAATGTGTCAAATTACCAGCGTGGAAGAATTGATCGTTCTTAGCTCTCCTGACCATGAGAAAAAAAGGTACACATCATCAAAAAACCACACTGAAGCGGCCACTGATCATGACATTTAAAGAGATTTGGTTTTGTGATAATTAGAAAGATGGTAGCAGAAAAACACATTGAGGTTTTTCCTATTCAGCTGCTAATTTATTAGATCTTGAAGTCAAGTGGAACATTTCCCATGGAACAGGATGGTCGAGCTGAACATAGCCCTCAAAAGGAGTGAACTTGTCTATAACAAAAGTGCCTCATTAGGAAAATTGGGGCACTTCGTAATTACATCGTCGCTTGTTATTCTGAAAATTACTGTCTGCAAAAGTATTGAAGTGTGAGTCCCTATACAGCAATGGGGATGTACCTTCCATATGACATGTAAAATCATATACTATGAGGTACCGAGATACCTGAAAAAAAAATTGTATTTTTTTTTTGGCAAAACTACTGTAAATACATGTACAGTACTACCTCATGACAATGACTAATGATTTTCTGTAAGCGTGAACATTGGGGAGGAGTTATGGTAGTAATTGACCTACTTCTTCCTCAAACTTCTAACTTTGTATTAATTGTAAGTGTTTTTCTATTTCTCTGTACTTAAGCACTCAAACGTTGAAGCAGGTGAGTCTACTTCTTGACTTGCTTTCTTTGGAATTATGTGATTTTACTTTTGCTGAGTAAGTTACCACATCGTAACATGTTATATTATTAGATTGCATTAAATACCCAGGTTCAAGCTTTCAATGGTGAATAGCGTTCTTACAAAGGCTGATATCTAAACTAAAATCTCATTCACTCAAATTGTCTACTGTGCTTAGGGAAGGATAATAACATCCATATCTTTTAAATGAAGAAAAGAAATCATGCTCTCTAGCGACAGATACATCTTTTGTGCATGAGCAAATTGCTACTTTTAAAGCACTCTCTGAAAAGGGCTGTTGTTTGCTACCAATGCTTGCCAATTATTTCCTTGAAAATAAAGGTGATATTTCTCATTATGGGTGTAGAGGTGTAAGTGACGGTTATCATTTCAGGTAGACGAACATTCATAAATTGATTGTGTCGTCGCAATCTTATTATAATACCGTCATGGGAGCCCTTGATTTTGAGTCATTAGAAAGAACAATCGGACTGTAAGACCAATTATCTTTTTTTTCGTTAATGATCATCGCGCTGAATGCCTATTGCTCTCAACGTCTTTTTAACTATACCGATGAACTCTCTTTCCGAAGTCCAGGAAGATCAGGCTCTAGTGCCAGAGGACACTGTGGTGGTGGATATGAAGATAAAACGCTTTAAGTGCTATTATTTTTTGAGAATCGACAAAGTGGACATCTCACCAGAAGATAACGCTCTGTCAAACTCTTATTTTGAATCGGAAACCAATATCAACCCGCATTGCGACAGTGATTCTAAAAGTGTAGAAATTCAGGAAGAGAAGTACGAAGATGAACATTATTTGGACAAATCACACCAAAGTAGAGATAGTGAACTAGGCATTCCACTGGGAGCTGCTTGGGCCGCAAAAGCATCGTTCTCGTCGATAAAGAAAGCTGGCTATTTGAGAACAAGAGAACCTCTGAGAGCCAGAAAATTCCTCCAGCTGGTCTTCACTTACATCTCTAGCCAAAGACCGGGTTGAAACGAAGACTGACCTCGACATAATCACACC